CAATTCTTCAAGTCAATGCACAAAATCAAGTTGTATTCAATTCACTCTCTCTCAAATTCGGTGGGAGTCAAGAAAATAGCTGATGAAATGGTGTGTCTAAGGATAATTCAAGCCTCAAATATGGTATGAAGTGGGCCACTAAGTGGCACTAATGTAAATAAGTCCAATTCTTTCAATTTCGCTCAATTTAATCTAGTTTAATCATACCTAATCAGTTTTCAGATAAATACACCATAAAATCACATTAATTATGAGGATCATAAAACATTAATCAATTTCCGGTTCGGCCGCCAATAAGGCCTTCAATTAGCAGTTTAAACATAAAACGTGAACAGGTCAAATAAACAATCGAACAGATAGAATACAAATTAACACACATACTCAGTCAATTCAGTTCCAGTTTTCAGTCAGTCAGTTCAGTACTTTAATCAGTTCAATTATCAGTCATAATCAGTTCAGTTCAACGGTAATCAGTGGTTATTCGGTAAACAGTGACGACGGTTATTACACTATCAAATAAAAAATAAAAAGTTAGATTAAAATAACTTTGTGCCAAAGTTTGTGCTGAATTTAGCAAATTTCAAATCTGGCATATCATCAACACTCCATCATGATAATCACAATAAACTTTTGAAAAGTTCATTCGAATGGTTAGAATTTGACATGAAAGTTGATTCTGCTAAAATGCCATGTGCACTATTAGAGCACTACATCAAGAAAATGGCATTTAGGTACAATTTTATGCCAAAAAACGAATTGGACATTGGGAAAATTATTTGGTGGCCATAAAACACATTAATGTGGGGTTCAAATTTGATATTTATTAATTAAAACAGTAAAATTTATTACTTTTTATTAGATTTTTTGGAGATAATTTGTCAAGTATCAAGTAATAAATGATGTAAAATATTAATTAAAAATAACTAAATAAAAATTGCCAAAATGACAATGACCATAGCTCAATAACAAGGTATACTAGGTAGGGAGCTCCAATGGACCCTATAGCATAATAGAGTTGAATGGTTATCAAAAGCATATTTCCTAAAGGGTCATGCTCCGGAGCTCTAATTAGAGCTGCAAAAGGGTAGCTCTAATGAGCTGTCAGCCAATAAAAAAAAATAGTGAAGTAAAAGACAAAAAAAAGGAAAGAAGAAGACAAATTAGTGCTCCATTAGAGCTCTTCTTTTAGAGGTCTAAATCATTTTTGTTTCCTAAAAAGCATTAGGGAAATCTTTGACTCCATTAAAGTTTTAAAACCTAGCATTTGGTTTTTGTGAAAAAATTGTTTGGCAAGTGTTAAAATAGTCAGTGATGCTACAAACTTAAAAATATATTCAGAATTTTTAATATGTAGCCCATATTCATTATAACTCCATGATACATTCATTCAATTTACACCAGATTCATCTATACATTCTGTCAAAAAACTTGATTCTTATTTTTTGGATTTCAGACTAATTGTAAAATGTTGCATTTTTTTCAAATTTTTTTATAATGAACTTATTAAAAATTTATGTCAAAACCTATTACTTTCTAAGTTTTTTAATATTAAATATGACTCTACAAATTTAAAATTAGACCTAATTTGAAAAAAAATTACTAACAACAAAATGGTCACCAAAAGAAAATTAATAATAACCAACAAAATTGACTTTTATTCTCTTGTGTGAATTATTTTTGTAAATTTTTATAATCTTCTAATTTAATAAGTCTGAAACTCGGGTTATAGTCTAAGTGGTTATGAAGGGACACTTAAATATTAATAAAGTGAGATCTCATATTTAAATCAATGAAGTAGCGTCGGATTACTTTAATAATTTAATTTATTAACTTAATAACACTCTACCTTATAGTAAAAATAAAAAAATAATTTATCAAAAATAAAAAATTAAATAATAATAGTCCAATAACACCTAAAAAACAATCTACAAAAAGCTTTGTCAAATCCCATGTTTGCAAAATTTTGATCGCTTTGTTGGTTTCCTGTTGGGTGTAATGCATGCTTTTGTTGTTTGTAGGATCATGAATTCCTTTAAAAAAAAAATGGTTGAGATCTCTAAATGAGAAACTCTAGGAATTTTAGAGGTGGGTTTTATTTTATGATTTGATAGGGGTGGGAGCAGGTTGGTTGCGACCACGGAACCTTTAATCCGCCATCTGTCTGTCAGATTGGCGGATTGAAGAAAATCAATCCGCATCCGTTCGTCAATCCGGCGGATGTGGATTGAGCGGATTGACGGTTTGGCGGATAGATGCGAATTGGTTTGGCAGTCTAAAATTTTATAAATTTTCAATATAATTCAACTTGTGCACTTCTTCAAAAATATATATATATATATATATTACAGTCAATGACTTAAAAAAATATTACAATTACTGCATGCCTCATCCAGAGTAAGAAAGTTTGAAACTTTAAAATATCAAAATCACAGCATGCCTCATCCACATAAAGTATTACAATCTGTAGTTCTTAAAATATAAAAATAATTCAAACCACCAAAACCATAAACAGAGTAATAGTAGAGATTGTATGTCTCTGTATTATTACATCTATATCTGTTTTTAAAAATAAAAACTAACCAGAATATATCATATTTTCTATTTATTATTTTTAGAGATAGATTTAAAAACTAAAAAATATAAATACATAATACGTTTATTTTTTTCAATTCAAAAAAGATATTCTAGTTGAAAACCTTTTTTCAACAGAATATTTAAACTTTTTTTTAATTGAAAACACAAACAAAATATTAAAACAAACTGAAAACACAAAGTCTTATAAATTACTAGGAGTGCTCGCGGTTTGGCGGTTTGCTGCCAAAAGAATCTCAAATCTGCCATCTGTCTGCCAGATTGGCAGATTGGAGAAAATCAATTTGCAACTGTCCGCTTGTCATCACACATCCGTCCAAAATGCGGCGAATTGATTCGGTTCGGTCGGTTTTGACAAATCGATATATCCGCTGCTCACTCCTAAATTTAATATTTTCACTTGTGACGTTATATTTTTTTTTAATGTATTATCATATCACTGGAGTTAGCATTATAATTCTAACTCTAATATTCTCTATCATTACTCAAATCCTTTATACATATTATTTTTTTTGACATCAGTGATTGATAATTCTAAAAGTAAAACACTATTAAGCTGGTAGTTCAAAAAAAAAAAAAAACTAAGTTCAAAACATTATATTATAATGAAATCCACTCCTATTACAAATTAGAGTTTAGAAATATTTTTGTTTTTCTGATGCGTAAAGTAGGGCTTTGGGTGGATGGAGCCATATTACAGACTCCCAGTGGGGTGACTCCCACTGACAACCCCCAGTGAAGTGTCAACCCCCCAATTGATTGAAAACAAAAACAAAAAAAAAATAATTTTTGGGCCAATGAAAAATGATCCCCAGTGACCCCCATTGGGGGTGTTAGGCATTTCAATAATGATACAGACTACTAAAACATCACCACTAACATCACCACTAATGATGTGGCAAGCCCAAAAAAAAAAAAATCAACAATGATTCATCCCACTAAAAATATCACCACTAATAGCACTAATGCATTAAAAAAGAAAAAAAAAAAAACACAACTCCAAGACTAAAACATCACATCATTAATGACGGAACTCACTGCCACCTAATTAGTGGGAGCACTAATTAATGCTCCCAAACATTTTTCAAAAAAAATATTAAGACACAAAACATATATGATAGTGAATAGGACCCACTGCTATATCCTTAATGTAACTACTAATTAATGGTCTGCATCATCTTTCTAAGCATTTTTCGAATGGTGAAATAGTAAGATTATGACATATCTTTAAGGTCCTTGTTTTTTGAGTCTCTTCTGAAAAAAGTAATCTCTTCCTTTTACCATCAAAAGTTACAATGTTAGGGTTTGATGTTTTTTTGTCTTTTGCTTTTGTTAGCATTCTAATTAAACCTCATAACCCTTTGTTTTTAGCATAGCCCTTGTGTGTGTTCAAAGCTAGGATTTGACCAGTTTTCTTTTGAAGAATTCTATTATATACCCTTTATACCAAGAGTCAAGATTTTGGTTGAGAAGAGAAATTATTAAGTTAAAATCTCAACAAATATTGTAATTCAACTTAAGCCCCATTTGGAGACTTAGTCAAAATTAAATTTGACTCCTAATTTATAAATAAAAACTACATAAAATATTATGACACAAATTCTTAATAAAAAAATTATAATAAATTGTCACAAACAAAATCTTATCTAATAAGTTAAAATGTTCTAAGTCCAAAGACTTAGACTTGTCTATCTAATAAATTAAAATGTTCTAAGTCCAAGAGTTTAGACTTGTAATAAAAAATTATTATAAATTATCATATTATTCTTTTTATTTTTTTATATGTATTTTGATAAAAATTAACTCAAATATCTTAGGGCTAATTCAACTTCATGAACATGCCCCATAGACTTTATACAAATCCATACGGTCTCATATAAATAAATAGTAAAAATTTATATGTAATATTGTCACAAGTGCGTAGGAAAGAATATTTAAAATTTTAAATCTACTTTAGATATAGGAGAGAGAAAGAGTACGGCTAAAAACAACTAAGGCCTTGTTTGACAACAGACTGGTTTAGTTAAAAAATCAAAAAATTAATAATTCATACTAAAAAGTCAAAAATTCTCTTTTCTCTTTATTTTTTACACATTTTTTAGTAAAAAATCAAAAAATCATCCTAAACACACTAATTTTTTTTAACTCATATTTTAATCAAATAATTAAAAAATTACTAAATTAACCTATTCCCAAACGAGGCCTAAGCGTTGAGAGATTTAGATCCAAAGATTAAAACTAAACAAATTTAAACAAAAACATTCATAGTGGACTACTTCACCCAGGAGAAAAAAAAAAAAAACCTTTTAATTTTCACTCAAATTTTACTCTACTAAGCCATTCATTAACACCCCCACACACACATACACACACACATATATATATATATATATATACATACACTACAATTCCAAAAATACTCCCATATATGCTTTAAGCTTATACAAGTAATATAAGCTTACTATTGCCAATCATGTCCCAATCACATAACTGAGCACCCATTTGGATTCTCATCACTAAACAACTCAAACGAATCCAACGGCTGTCGTGGGTGGTAGTCCAAATCAAACGGTGAAGATTCCATCTCGGGACCCTGATACGTATGAGCGTACGAATACCCTGGTGGCGATGCGTAGTACGACGCCGTATAACTACTAGTAGGATGCGCCGTATTGTAACTCGTCACGTATACAGGCTGTGGTGGTGTATGGTAATGTAGTGGCCCCGTTGTTGTTGGTGGTGGGTATTGATGCACCTGATGACGTGGAGGGCTGTGATTACCTGCAGGTGTGCCCGCAATATGATTACCCGATCCTGTGCTCGCCGGTGCACCGCCACTCGATGGTCCTCCCTCGGTTGCGCTTCTATGATGCCCTTTCTTTTTCTTCTTTTTACCACCACCGCCAGTCCCAGTTCCACTTCCGCCGCTACTTTTCTCAGCGCCGCCGTCACTTTCAGTAACGTTTTTCTCCGCCGCCGCCGGATGGTTACCGGAAGTCCCGGTCTCCGGTTTCTTCCCCTCAGATCTCGTCTCCGCCGCCACTCCGCCGCCGATTTTAGCACCGCCGTCGCTGAATCTGACTGCGCCGCCACCGCCTTCGCTTGTTTTCGCCGGAGCTCCGCCGTCTCCGCCGTGGACTACTTCGACCTTCACCGCTTGTTTTTGCGAGTTCGGACCGACATGGCTGCCGGCAGCGGCGCCGCCGGTACTTTCTTCTGTGCTGCTTTCGGAATCGGTATCTGTGTTTTTGTCCTTGTCCTTGTCTTTGTCTTTGTCTTTGTCTTTGTTGTCTTTCTTCTTGGATTTTTTTGATTTGTTTCTCTGCTGGTCGGGTGTTTCGGGCCACATCTCGGCATGTTTACCGGACTTTACCAGTTTCTTGATCAGAGTCTCTGCTTCTACGTTCCCTGTTACTATAGCTTTTTGCTGCTTCGTATCCACATTTACAATGTAAACACCTAAGAGAGATGAATAACAAAACAAGTCAAATTTTCGTTTTTTTCATACACAACAGAGAAAAATGTGTCATAAAATTTTTAATTTATTCGAAGTCATTGCCGTGTTAGATGTCTCAAAAATTTTATCATAATATCAGAATTAGTAAACAACAAATTATATAAATTATCCAAACTTAATTTATGTACTCTAACGCCTCTCACTTCTTTGAGTAGCTTCACAAGTCCAGTATTCGTTCTGAATTTACCTCTCATCTCTCTATCATCTTCACATGTGACCAGACTATAAAAAAAAATAATTGTTGGAAGTCTCTCACCGTTCATTACCAATTAATTTTAAATTTGATAGCCTCAAAAAAAAAAATTATAAAATGAAGAGAAACCAAACGAGAAAGCTTGATAAAGTATGATCATTGAGCTGAAACATTGCTCGAGTCATCCCAATAGGTTACTGGAGGTTTGGGCAGCCTTAACTTCAACTTCAACATCTTGAGATTAGTCGCGTGGGGGGCAAGCTGAACCACCCACCAAATAATCAAAAAAATAGTGAAACTTATGTTTGTTGGTTACCTTCAATGCTATGGAGGACTTTTTTTACTTTCCTTTTGCAGCCTTCACAGTGGATGGAGACTTTCAAGACCCATGTCTGAGAAAGAAAAAAAGCAGAAAGAAGAGAAGTTAGTGAGTTGCAAAATGAAATGGAGGGTAGTGATATAAATTAATTTAATGGCTAGTTAGTTGTTTATTACCTTGTATGTGAGTGGTTGTTCTAAGGGTGATATTGTCACTGGTTGTGTTGTTGCCATTAGAAGAAGGCTGAGGTGTTTTGAGAGAGAAGAAGATGAGGAAATGAAGAAAGGGGAAGCAACAGAGAGAGTGAGATAAAGGAGGAGAAATGATGAGAGGCTTAGAGAGAGAGAGAGAGAGAGAGAGAAGTTGGATACTGTACAAATTTTATTAAAAATTGTATTAAGGTGGTGTTTGACGAGTGATTTTTGGGTTAAAATAGTCACAAAAAATAAAATAAATTATTTTAATCATAACAAATAAAAAATCACATCTAAACTATAATCATTACACTCTTCTCTCAAAAAAAAATTAAAAAAGTCAAAAAGTTAAAAAATTCTTCTCAAACTAAGCTTTTTAGCCTAGGCTAAAATAGCCAAAAAAAATTAAAAAGTCAAAAAATTAACCCACTTTCCAAACAGAGGCTAAATATCTTACATAGATTTAAGCCTTGTTTGGCAAGAGGTTATTTTAGCCAATTAGTCAAAAAGTTACTAAATTAGTCAAAAAAGCCAACAACTCATACCAAAAAGTCAAAGATTATCTTTTCTCTCTACTTTTTGCACATTTTTTCATAATTAGCCAAAAAGTTATCACAAACATACAAGTTTTTTTTACCTACCTTTTTAGTCAAATAGTCAAAAAGTTACTAAATTAGTCTGTTCCCAAACGAGGCCTTAGAATTAACATGAGATTTATATTGTGTATATGTTAAATTTATATTTATGTGAGATATTTGGTAAAATTTTTAATAAAATATTTGAGATTTTTAGGATTACTTATATTTAGTAGGGAAAAATGTTTAATGTTTGGGGACCATAAAGGAGGACCTATGATTATTATTGATGTATTTGAATTTTTTTTGAGATTATGTCTCATAATGATATGAACGGTTCAGATCATTTTAAGAGTAATGAGAGTTGTATTTTGTGGGATCTCTATCATTACTGGGTTATTTGGGATGATCTAAATGAATGTACCTTTTGATTTTTTATGAAATATGAGTTGAGTTTGGATTGAGTTTGAAGTGATGTATTAGAGAGATGGTGCGACTTAAATAAGATGGTGCGACTTAAATAAGATAGTGACTTTTTGACTTTTTAACTTTTTTTCAAGTATATCAAACAAAGGCCAAGTTTGGTTAACAAAAAAAAGTGCACTTATTTCATCTTTTTATCTTTTTTGAGTCACATCAATCAACATCTTCTCTCTACTTTTTCTACACATAATACAAAAAAAAGTCAAAAAGTACACTTATTTAGTCTTCCTAAACTTGGCCTTATGTGATATTTTTTGATAATATGATTGATGAAAAAAATGAAATATTAATTATTTAAGTTAGCTGATTGAACAAAATATATAATGAATGGGCTCACCCACTCACTCAGTTGTGAAAATTCAATGCTCACCTGAGAAGGCCAAGACTTGGGAGAATGCGGCAAAAGACATAAGGGGGTTTGCTACAAAATTTCTGGGGCATGTTACAGGTGTGGCAAGGTGGGTCACATGGTCAAAGATTGTCCTTCCACGTTGTTAAGTGTATTTTTGCATCCTCATTCCATCATATGCATTCCTAGGCCATGTTTAAGGCATCTTAATGAGGATAATGTTATAGAACCACACCAAGTCAAGTTAGGAGCGAAGTTGTTAATACCGAATGTGTAATTTAGTGTGTGTTCGTTCTGCAACTCTATAGGGTTGGCACCCAAGGACGTTGATTAGCCTGCCTATAGCCCAATAATCTGTGAGTAACAATGTTGTAAAGATATGTTTTTTTATAATTTTTTTTTGAACGGGAGTAGTGGCCAAGTAAAGAAGGTATCTCTCTCTACAGGTATGACCCAAATTCGATTTTTGAGAGGGGTTTATTCCGCTATTTCGCAGCTGGCTCTCTTCAAATATCTCTCCTGTACTCCCCTTAAAACCCAAGCTCATCTATAACTTGTATTGAGCACTATTGGTATCTTGATAGTGGGTCATTTTCTTTGGATTAGGTTAAATCAGGTCAACAATGGGCTATCCCAAAATTTAGACCTACGAATATTGTGATGACATCTCATAGCATCTTTTTTTTCCATTAAATAAAACGGAGCTGCTAGGTAGCTCGACAAACTCGTTGCCCCGAATGGCTCGATTGTTGGAAACGACTCCGTTTTGACATTTGTTTTTTTCTACTTTTTCCCTCCTCTTTGCTTCCTCTTCTTCCATTCCCCTGGGCAATCTGAAAAATTAGAGGAAGAAGGAAAAATTGGGGCTGTATGAAGAAGAAGAGTCCAAAAAAATCAAACAGCCCCAAAAATTAATCTGAGAAAAAAAAATCAAAATCAAAACCCAAAATCAAAATCAAAATCAAAACCAATTTCAGCCAAAAAAAAAAAAAACTGCCCCAATTTTGGCACAAAACAGCCCCAATTTCAGCGAAAAAACAAAAGGAAGAAGAGGAAGAAAATAGCCCCAATTTCAGCAAAAAAAATCCCCAATTTCAGCACAAAACAGCCCTAATTTCAGCACCAAAACTGCACCAAAACAACACTAAAACAGTCGCAAATTGAGCAAAACCCATGTCCAAAACCCATGTCCAAAACCCACAAAAGCCATCAAAATAGAAACATAATCTACTTATTATTATTATTATTATTATCAGCCTTTGGAGCACCATGTCTCTATGCGTTCACACAGATGGATGTTTCACAGAGAGATGAAGGATGAAAGGATACAAGACGGACCAAATCGCAGCTTTCCATTCGGTCGGCGAAGTCATCTCCGACATCCTCTCTTCTTCCTTCTCCTCCTCCTCCTCCTCCATTTCTCTCTTTCTCTCGGTTTGTTTGGGTTTGGAGTGGAAGGGAAAGAAAGAAAGCAAGAAAGGAAAGGAAAGGAAAAAAAAACGTCAAACGACGTCGTTTCCGAAATCGAGCCATTCGGGGCAAATAAGTTTCGAGCTACAAAACAATTTCCTAAATAAAAATGTGAACTAACCATCATTCCAGTACTTTTGTTCTCACCAAAAGTCAAGAAAAATAATGTTGACTTATATTTATTGGATAATTAAGAGAAAATACATGATGTATCTTTAAGTGCTTGGTGATTCATCAATTGTCAAGAATATTATGGGGTGCTTTGGAACTAAATAAAAAGTTAATTTTTAATTTTTTACCTATTTTGAGTCATATTATTTTTTATATTTTTTATTTATAAAAAAAATTAAAAAAAAACTTTAAAAAATTAATTTTTTATCCACTACTCAAAATACTATGTAAATTATATCACGTAAGATTTTATGACTATCTAATACATTTTCAAATTTGTATGATGGTGTGAACAAAAGAAAGAGTACTCGCTTTTCAAGTAGTTTAGAATTTAAAAGCGATTAATAAAGCCTTGGGTTTTGTTTGGGTTGTTTTTGAGAAATAAATTTTGGAGAAATTTTTTTAAAATTTTTTTTGATTTAATGGTTTTTTAAAAAAAAAAATCAAAATCACTTTCTATCTTTTACACATTAATCAATCATTTTTTCTTTCTCCTCTCTCATTCTCAATTACTTTTTCACACATATATTCAATTACAATAAAATATCAAATTATCTCAAACTTAGATACTCCAAAACTATTTTCAAAATATACAACCAAACAAACTAAAGAAATTTCTAAACTCTTTTTTTAATTTTTTTTTTAAAAAATTTATCTCTCAAAACCAAACTAAACATACCCCAAATTTTCTTTGTTACTAAGCATAAAAGGAAATATCGGATAAAACTAAATAAATTATCACTATTATTGCAAAGTAGACACATGTAGTCTATAGAAAAATGATTTTATCTCCCTACTTTTGTTAGGCATGAGAGATAGATGGGTGTCTGACTAGTTTATATAGATTTTAATCACATCATTAGGAGTGAAGCTAGAGACTTCAATTAGAAAAAGTAGTGGGACTGATAATTTATTGATAATTTATATCAATCCATAATTAAAACGGACCACCTTCATGATTATTGTGTGTTCATCACAGAGGAGCTTTAATAAAATCCGAAGGAAGTGTGGGGTTGGATTAATGGATTAGAGGATAAGATAAAGATTAGTAACTGAGAGGGTAATTTGTGAATAAATTAGACCGAATTAGGACGAGTCTTCTTTGAAAGTTGGGCCGTGCAATGGGCCAATGAGGTATTTTGTATTTCGGCTTTGGACCAAGGTAGGTACCAAGATGGTTGGATGTGTTGCTAGAATTGGGACCTATCTACCTTCTGACCGAGATGATAACAGGGCGATGGGCCGAGCTGTAGCATGGTCATCACGACTCACCCATGTTGAGCACGAAGCCGAAGTAACGTGGTTGACCGCAGTATCAGCCAAGGTAAAGGGTTCAGCCATCTCACTTGGCTTATAGTGATAAGACTCCTAGGAGGACTCTGCTAAGGAGAGTAGAGTCCTACTAGGATTGTGTAAACTATCTCACTTAGTTGGTAGTGAGTAGAGTGTGTGATTCCTAGGAGGACTCTTATAAGGAGAGTTGGAATCCTACTTGGATTGTGCCAGGATTGTGCAAACCATCTCACTTGGTTGGTAGTGAGTAGGGTGTGTGATTCCTAGGAGGACTCTTATAAAGAGAGTTGGAATCCTATTAGTATTGTGCCAGGCAGAATCTATAAAAACTCATAGCAAGACCTATTCACAAGTATCCCAATTCTTACTCTAGAATACACAGAACTTATTGTCTATTGTCTAGTTGCTGACTTAGGCATCGGAGGGGTTTCCGGCACACACCCGCCGGTTAGCTCACGTTTGTGTTTTCAGGTGGCAAAGCAACGATGTTTGGAAGAGTGCAAACTTGATCAATAGGATTATACGAGAAGATTATTTCGTACTCGTACAGTAACACTTAAAGGATAATGAATGCATATGTCATTTGCTAACTTATACTATGTTTGATTAGAGATGGGCATAGATGTGTGCTGACAGTTAACGGAAGTAATTGGATTTGATAATGGTTTAAAGCAGTTACAACTTCGAGGGTATTTTGGAGGAGGAAAATGTGACAGTTACATTAAGTATGTGTTCACTTTATATAATAACTAGCGACGAGTACACACGTGATACATGTGCAAATGGATGTTGTACGGGGGCGAAATATCCTCTGCTTTCCGTACTCCTTGCA